CGATAGTAACACTGCTGAATGCTCCCATCTGAGAGAACCTTTGTGATTGTTGTTGGTAGTGTGAGAGGATTTGGATTTTTGTTGAGATTTCGTCCCGTAAGTGAAGCCAATCTATGCAGAAAATACAGAAGCACTATACAACTCTTTGATCCTTATTGGGAACCATCAGCAGTGCGCATCCCACGAAACTCCGGAAAGTCTTGAACCCGCGACATCCCGGCTAGTAGTTTGAACACTAAACCGTTCGGCCACGAGCAGCTGATCAGCTGTGTAATTTCTGATTATCATTTGGGTGGTGGTATCCAGATGTTAGCTTTTGAAAATACCTCATTGTTTCGTCTACTTTTGGCATAAAGTCGTATTGTGTGTGATATGTATTTCATTATTATCAGTGTATTTAGTTTGCAGACTGAGGAGGAGGCTAAGATAAGCTAGGGTATACCAGGTGACTGAAAAAGTGTACAACGCTTCCCAAATAAAATGCTGCTTTTCAGCAATTCACGAAAGGCTCGCGGGTAACAGGATTTGACACAGAGATGAAAAGGGCCATAATCACAAGGGTTCCACATGGTCAGGTTCCACGTGATGCCTCTTGTAGATGTCTGGAAATGTCACAGGATATGGCATATACCCAGTCTCAGGGGACAGCATTTCACATTTCCCAGTCCACCTGAATTTCGCTTTCCAACTTCATTTAGGGTCAATCTCACAGATGCCAGTTTGCTCGGATGTGATACCCAGACAAGTGTATCTCGGTCCTACCACTTTTCAAGAGACATGGCTGTTTTCTCCGTTCTCTTTTCCCTCGCTTTCCAGTAAGTAAGGGTATAGGTTTCTATTTTTATTGTGAGTCAGTTATCACCAGTTATCGTGATTAGAGAGCTATGTGACTTTCACTCCATTGTAAGAAAACTAATTCTCAAACTAAGCATTCAATGCATACTTTGATACAAGAGCAGTTTGGTTATTAGTGCACCGTCTGGTAGTTCTTTTTGGATTGCGTATGATTGTGTTACTTTGACTCTGTCGACAAAACATAAATTCCTCAGAGCTACATCTGTTAGTGGTTTTAGCCAACCATATCACAGATGGTTTCTTTGTCTACCCAGTGAGTCAAGATGTAATTGGTACGTTTTCTTGCCCTGATATTATGACCATGAAGTATTAATCCATTAATTTTAAACAAAGTTACTGAATTGCGAACTAGGCAAGACAAACCGGAGATTCAACCACAATTCGAATGACTATCCTGTGGGATAATCTTAGTTGTGAAGAGAACATAAGAATCCATCGATTTCTGGTTAGGCCAAACGGGATTCCGTGTAAAAGATAGTCTTCTAGATCAGCTCAGAAAAACTGCAAACTGGACAAATGCATCTCTTCAACGGAATATGCAGGGTAAAGCCTGTAGTGTCGGCAAAGTTGGCTTGAAAAGTTGACCAGGGGTGTTTTTCTTCCAGTAAAATGCAGCTGGCGGTACTTTGGTGTCACTGTTTGGCTGATCATCATACACGTAGAAAGGCATCGTTCAATATTTTGGCCTAACAGTGCCGTGTCATTTTGAAGAAGAGCCAAACTTGAACTTCTGGAAGTCCGCCTCGACAAGCGGTACTCCCAGCAAACAACACAAACTTGTGAGTAAAATGTGTACTGCCTATTGTGATGGAATCTGCTACCAAGCAAGAAAATGAATTTTAAAGCCCCGTAATACTTCATTAATATTAGTTACACAAATACCGAAAATATAACCATCGTCTCCGTTTTCCACTTTTTATTTCTTTTATGACATACCTTCCGTACCTTTCAGATTTAATGACATCCCTCCTAATAGCACCAGCGATTATCTCATCTTATCCGTTTTATACGAAAAAGTGGCTAGACACAAGCTGAACAATAGAGATTTGTCATAAGAGTGTACGAATAATCTTATTCTTTTACGTTTCCAATAGGATTCCGCACAGAAGTGACTACCAACTTTAGGTGGTTATAGAATATTCATCAATTCTGACGTCGACACTTCTCACGCTCTTTGACGTCCATCATCGACGACACAATAAAGAGTGGGCGTATACCCGAAACGGTAAAATAGACCCTTTGCAACAAGCTAAGATCCACACTGGAAGTTCTACGGCTCTGGCTTGTAATCCAAGAGGTTCTAGGAATGAATCACAGTGCGAATACTTTTTACGGGGTTAGCCGTGCCAGTGGGCGCATTTTTCTTCCACACACAGCTGAAAGCAAGATAACTGTGACTTCGAAAGTTATAAAATTTCCTAATGTGTATTTCACAGTATATTTCTGTTAATGTTGCATACTCACTGTTCTTCTCGCTGTGGTGTTCTTCTTCGACTTGGATTTTTTCTTCTGTACAAAATTAAGAGCGTGTGCAAAATTCAAATCGGATAAGACCTCATCAGAGCAAGAGTTTATTTGATTACAGAACATAAGAGTATAATAGATGATTGATACGAAGAGCTGAACGGCCGGGACAGTACACTATTCAATTCACTTGATTTGTTGGAGATAATTTAACTTGAAGTTTTGTTCCGAAGCGCATGATTTATTTGCTTGCACATACCGCATGCCAACTTTGGTACATTTAATGGTAATTTGGATAAGAAACGTAATACTTAAGCTGCAAGTGAATGTAAACATTATCTTGCCAAAGGCCACCACAACAATCTAAACAAAAACACGAACCTCCCCTGTCAATTCCGTATGCCAGCAGATGGAAACCTGACAGCTGGACCAATAAATTTCCGAAACAAATTCACTGAACTTAAAAAAGGGCGTTTGGACCTGTATAAACTAGCGAGAGGTGGATGCAATTTACGGTAAGTAAAGCCCTGAAGAGAATATATATCCTATTGGGTCTATTTATAACCGAAATCAAGCACATAGTAACCGTTTTCATCATCTTGATCTCTAGAAGACTGAAGTAGCACTCACAGTTCGTGTAATAAAGGGTAATGTGACAAAGATTAAAAAATGCCTGAGTTAAATATAACTGAAGTCTAAAATATCGGTTTTCTATGGAAAATGGATGATAAATATAACTTAAAATTCAAACGCCCTGGGCCATGCATTTCAGATCGCATAAATGAAGGAAAATAATACATGAGTTGCTAATGTTTGAACAAGACAAACGGGCGCCTGACCATGGTAGAGTTCGTGCGAATCGGAGGGAATGGGGCTACAGCGGAACATGGAGAATCTGGTTGCCAGCAAAAGTCCGATCTAAATATAATAGCATAAAAATGGCTAACAATGCTAATTACTTCTTCGCCATCAAAGTTCCATTATTATCCTTTAAAAAAGCATATAGTAGTATTGTATAGACTGGCATAATCTTTTACCACTAGCCGGAAGTAGCCGGCTTGCACATCCCCAGGGACTCAAGGGCTGTGTAAATCTGGAGATTCATATCACGGGTAGACTGACAGTACCGTGCCTCTCAGCTTTTAAGTTGAGTTTCAGATCGCTTGTAGAATGAAATCCCAATTGTAAGCTCAAACTGTTCCCATGCTACCGTCTGAAAATAGAATAAATAAATGCGATTTGTAACTGCTATTCTTACAGCCTCACGTTGCAGAAGGTGCAGAATTTCCAGTGACACTTTCCAGTTAGGTGTAATAGATGTGTATTCTTATCGCTTATACCAAATACATGCAACATGGCTCATTTACAAATCATTAGGAATAAGATGCATTGAACGGTGGTGTGAGCAGCGCTCAACCTGACCTCATAGATCACGGTCGAGATGACCGCCTTCTATTGGAAGTATACCGTTCGTTATCGTCTGTACATCTCGCTGAAGACAGTCGTTTTTGGGGTTAGCCACGTTTATTTTGCGCTCAGTGATTACTGGAAAAACTCCAAATTATCTGAATTACTGCACAATGTTCGGTGCTTCGCAGTGCTGCAGTGGTCATACACCTTCTCACGCCACAGGATTTGCTTTGAGGTTTGATTGAGGATGGCTGACTTCTGCACAATTACAACCGTTAAAACCAGTATGGTTTTGTGTCTGCAAGCTACTTGGTTACCTGGACAAATACACTCATTTCCATATTAGTTTTGTTTCTACGGAAGACGTACATAATTCCCAAATTAATCTTCTATTTTACAATGAAATCCTTGCAAATAATTTTAGTTGTAGAATTTTGTTCAATTTGGGTTCAATTATACAGCGAAGCTGTTGGAAACTCATGGATGGCGCTGCCTGGTGAGCCCCAAGAAGAGTGAAACCGGCTGTGGACTGTCTAGTAGCTTTCAACGACCTTATGAATATTATGTCACGTGTGTGCGATGTATTGAGATATCCTGATTATCGTACAATTGACAAATGAGATGGCGTGTTGTCGCATATTCAATTGAAAGGGGACAATATAAACGATCTACTAAGCAGGGTTTCAGGTGAGTATCCGATTAAAAACTAAACTGGTATGCAAATGAGTGTATTTATCGACTTTCTAGCAGACTTTAGTTCAAGTGGGATGTGAGCTCGGGGAGTGTGCCTACCTGATGGGACCCAAGAAGAGCAAAACAAGTCGCGTGCTTTCGAAGGGTTTCTAGCAACCTCATGAGTAGTGTGCAAAGTCCACATCTAGGTACCTCTGAAAGACGTGACAAGTTTGCACCATGGAAGATTAGAAACTACTGAGATTAGCACCCACATATGTGACAGATGCTAGTGAATCTTTTTCGTCCTAAAAGTACACGTGCCCTTTTCTAATGTAACACTGCATGCACGTTGCTTACTTAAATTCCGAGCGATATATTTTAGAATTATCGTTTCTGAGGTATCACCAAGTCCTTTTAGAGTGATGTAAAACTAGACAATTCCAGATAGCCTACGAGTAGCTGCATATCACCGGAAGTCCATAAGACGCATAGACACTAACGCTGCGGTAAACGAACGAAAGCATTAAGTAAAGGCGTAAGCCATACTAATGCAACCAGAGCAATCAAACCCATGGATAGTGAGGAATGCTAGACATTTAGTACTCACCAGGATTACTGTCGAATTCCTCATCTGCCTCACCAGCAAAGTCAGCTTCGTATTCTCCCGCATGATCCGCTTCATCTATATTTACACCTTCATGTTGCTGTACACCTTCTTCATCGGGAACGTCCAAATTATGCTCCTCAGAGGATTCGTTGTCTTCATCAGTTTCAGTATTATTTTCCCCAGGAATTTCTGATTCCATGAGATTTCCATCGACACCCGAGAAAGAGTGCTCCACATTGCCAACACTGAGAGTTTCTGGGAGAAGGACTGGGCTATCAGAAGAAGAGTCAAGAGAGGGTCCACCGGAAAAATCACTGTTGGGGTTTCTCGACACATCAAAATAGATCTTGCATTCATCAGGGATTACCGAGCTAATAAATTCTTCAACAACGTTTGCATCTACGTCCACGCTAAAACCACCATCCAAAGCTCCACCGATCACATGTGGCTCGCCGTCATCCATGAGCTCGTCAGACTCGCCGCCGCCATCCTCCTCATCCGCAGACTCCTCATCGTTGTCCGCACCAACATCATCCTCATTCCCAACTTCCTCATCATTCTGGCCACCCTCATCATCTGACTCTTCCTGCTCTTCAAACAATTCCTCATCACCCCCACCATTCTCATCAAACTCACTCGCGTCGCCTCCCTCGTCCAAATCACCCCCTTCGACTCCAATGTCCCCGTCATCTGCATCGCCGTCATCTACGACCTCATCAGACTCGCCGCCGCCATCCTCCTCATCCGCAGACTCCTCATCGTTGTCCGCACCAACATCATCCTCATTCCCAACTTCCTCATCATTCTGGCCACCCTCATCATCTGACTCTTCCTGCTCTTCAAACAATTCCTCATCACCCCCACCATTCTCATCAAACTCACTCGCGTCGCCTCCCTCGTCCAAATCACCCCCTTCGACTCCAATGTCCCCGTCATCTGCATCGCCGTCATCTACGACCTCATCAGACTCGCCGCCGCCATCCTCCTCATCCGCAGACTCCTCATCGTTGTCCGCACCAACATCATCCTCATTCCCAACTTCCTCATCATTCTGGCCACCCTCATCATCTGACTCTTCCTGCTCTTCAAACAATTCCTCATCACCCCCACCATTCTCATCAAACTCACTCGCGTCGCCTCCCTCGTCCAAATCACCCCCTTCGACTCCAATGTCCCCGTCATCTGCATCGCCGTCATCTACGACCTCATCAGACTCGCCGCCGCCATCCTCCTCATCCGCAGACTCCTCATCGTTGTCCGCACCAACATCATCCTCATTCCCAACTTCCTCATCATTCTGGCCACCCTCATCATCTGACTCTTCCTGCTCTTCAAACAATTCCTCATCACCCCCACCATTCTCATCAAACTCACTCGCGTCGCCTCCCTCGTCCAAATCACCCCCTTCGACTCCAATGTCCCCGTCATCTGCATCGCCGTCATCTACGACCTCATCAGACTCGCCGCCGCCATCCTCCTCATCCGCAGACTCCTCATCGTTGTCCGCACCAACATCATCCTCATTCCCAACTTCCTCATCATTCTGGCCACCCTCATCATCTGACTCTTCCTGCTCTTCAAACAATTCCTCATCACCCCCACCATTCTCATCAAACTCACTCGCGTCGCCTCCCTCGTCCAAATCACCCCCTTCGACTCCAATGTCCCCGTCATCTGCATCGCCGTCATCTACGACCTCATCAGACTCGCCGCCGCCATCCTCCTCATCCGCAGACTCCTCATCGTTGTCCGCACCAACATCATCCTCATTCCCAACTTCCTCATCATTCTGGCCACCCTCATCATCTGACTCTTCCTGCTCTTCAAACAATTCCTCATCACCCCCACCATTCTCATCAAACTCACTCGCGTCGCCTCCCTCGTCCAAATCACCCCCTTCGACTCCAATGTCCCCGTCATCTGCATCGCCGTCATCTACGACCTCATCAGACTCGCCGCCGCCATCCTCCTCATCCGCAGACTCCTCATCGTTGTCCGCACCAACATCATCCTCATTCCCAACTTCCTCATCATTCTGGCCACCCTCATCATCTGACTCTTCCTGCTCTTCAAACAATTCCTCATCACCCCCACCATTCTCATCAAACTCACTCGCGTCGCCTCCCTCGTCCAAATCACCCCCTTCGACTCCAATGTCCCCGTCATCTGCATCGCCGTCATCTACGACCTCATCAGACTCGCCGCCGCCATCCTCCTCATCCGCAGACTCCTCATCGTTGTCCGCACCAACATCATCCTCATTCCCAACTTCCTCATCATTCTGGCCACCCTCATCATCTGACTCTTCCTGCTCTTCAAACAATTCCTCATCACCCCCACCATTCTCATCAAACTCACTCGCGTCGCCTCCCTCGTCCAAATCACCCCCTTCGACTCCAATGTCCCCGTCATCTGCATCGCCGTCATCTACGACCTCATCAGACTCGCCGCCGCCATCCTCCTCATCCGCAGACTCCTCATCGTTGTCCGCACCAACATCATCCTCATTCCCAACTTCCTCATCATTCTGGCCACCCTCATCATCTGACTCTTCCTGCTCTTCAAACAATTCCTCATCACCCCCACCATTCTCATCAAACTCACTCGCGTCGCCTCCCTCGTCCAAATCACCCCCTTCGACTCCAATGTCCCCGTCATCTGCATCGCCGTCATCTACGACCTCATCAGACTCGCCGCCGCCATCCTCCTCATCCGCAGACTCCTCATCGTTGTCCGCACCAACATCATCCTCATTCCCAACTTCCTCATCATTCTGGCCACCCTCATCATCTGACTCTTCCTGCTCTTCAAACAATTCCTCATCACCCCCACCATTCTCATCAAACTCACTCGCGTCGCCTCCCTCGTCCAAATCACCCCCTTCGACTCCAATGTCCCCGTCATCTGCATCGCCGTCATCTACGACCTCATCAGACTCGCCGCCGCCATCCTCCTCATCCGCAGACTCCTCATCGTTGTCCGCACTACCATGATCCTCGTGTTCATCTGAAAATGGTTGAATATCTCTGTTAGTTGTTCGCCTTTTTTGTGGTTCTAATTGAATTAGTATTTTTGTAGTGAGGTTTTTCTTATTTTTTTATATCTCGCAGTCGTTAGAGTGCCTTGCAAATGGGAATTTCAAATGTGTTATGTTAGCCTAGTTTTAGGTGCCAGTGTCTTGTGTGGCCAGGTTGTTAATTTGAAGAATTTTTGAGAAAGTCTTTCTTAAGCTCAGCTCAGAAATATTGTAGGATTTGAAGTAACGCGTTTATTTTTTTGTAGTAGTAATAATCCTTCTATGTCTCCTGTTTGTAGTCATTCCTGATTTTCAATTGGTGTGTCTGGGGTGTAGTTTATTTGACCGAGCCCATCCTGAAGTGTCTTCGGTTCCTTTGTAGTGTACTTTGTTGACAATTACCGAGGCTTTTCTTTGGGTGATTCTGCGGATGAGTTGTTTGGAAGGATTTCGAGTATATTGCTTCAACACCATGTGACATTCTCTATTTCAAACCGCATCTCCTGCTCAGAGACGGGACCGATATACGAAACCAACCGAATGTTTCCCATTAAACGGTAGAGTTAATGGTGTCAGTCGGCTGAGTACACCAAACTCGATTGACATTTTTGAGTTCCATTGTGGCTGAAGTGCTTGAATACTAACGCTGCATTGAATTGTTCACACTATTGAATTATGTGGTGAGTTGGAAACGAATCATACTATTCAAATCCTCCTGCAGTGTTCAAAACCTCTGACATTATCACCGCACTGGTCAGACCAGCCTACCATTCCTCACTCCTCATGCTACTCGAAAGCAAGTCTTTTGGCAGTAGTTTCAGATTCCTGAGTCACTGTAGACAAGGATTAAATAAGTGTAATTTTGCAGGCGTCTGATCCAAACAGAAGTTCAAAAGGGTTGTAGGATAGCGTGGTTTAAAAATTCAACAGAATATTATCACTATAAAAACTGTTCCGTTTACTCCTCATCGGTATGGCCAAGTAGAAATAACGAATCCTTACTAATTGTGATAAACCTTGCTCTAAGCCAGACTCGAGGGAAAGAATATGGAAATTTGAAGAATTTATGATGTGAATACAACATCCCGGTTTCAGAGAAAGCACATGCCTATGAAATCCTTTGGAGTGCACTTGTGCAAATCAGTGCTTTCGCAACACGGTTTGTCAGTGCTGGAGAAATTTGCTCGCAATCAGACAGAAAGCACTTTATTTCATACACAAATACATTAGGTGGGTGGTTCAAGATCTTGGTCTTGCTGTGTTGAAAGACCTGAATTTTTATTTTGACGAATATAAGATTAAGTGAACCCCACAGCTCTGAGCTGGTCATCTATTAAACTGACTACCGGTGTAACGAGGGACACTACTGATGAACCATGGGGGCAGTCTTTGGTTAGTGACCAAGCTCTGTCCGACGGAATGTGAAATTTATTTCGGAAATTGTGCAACCGCTTGGTGTTGTTCGCTTTTATTATCTAATAGTTAATTAATATTTGGGATAGTTCAAGTGGACGGGCGTGAGTGGTCCGTTTTTAAAGATTATGTACAAATGAGATGTTTACTTTCCCATCTAATGGCATGTAACTGCTTAGTTCGTATTCGCTAATAATTGACTTCGCAGAGAAGGGTTTCCCTCCTTTAACCGCTAATACATCCCTCGACGACCAAATGCACCTTGAAAACACTGCAAGTGTTGCTCTGCAGGTTGTCAACAGAGCCCAAAGTAAAGTAAATTTCATGCTTGTTTCTACTGTTCCAAAATGCTTCTTTTACATATACTGCACTGTTGAACCATTTTTCGAGCCGTCCGATTGGTCAACACCAGATTTATCATCAATTAAGATGCGTTATCTACGGCAAACCAGTAAATGTGAATCTCTTGTTAAGAAATGTTGGCGTATTAAGCAACTGTTGCTCTGTCCCCATATTCACCCAACCAGTCAATCTATCAGTCGAACATTAGAGAATTCACTTCTTTGTCGTGCATGCCAATAAAATGCCTAATTAGTACGCGAAACTGAATGAATCCAGAATAAATGGTCAATTTCTTAGCGTTCTCCCTTACATACACAATTGGAAGTATCAATCTGAGTTAATTCTATTGAGCGTATCAGATAAGCGACCTGAAAATACATCCCCTAGTCTGAGGAGAATTATAGCTGAGCAGAATTAGGCTACAAATAAATTTTCTGGTAAGATTAAACTGTGCGACATTCGAGGTAATGCAGTTTACTGTATGGTTGAATTTATGATTCAAGAACTCTTAAAATGAAAGTCAAAAATACATTGAGACAATCTTTTGCTTGGGGCAAAGGAACTTTGAAACAGGAGAGACAGGAATATCTTATTCCACAGTCCCAAAGAGGGCGAAACCGGTTGTGGTCTGTCGAAAAATTTTCAGCACGCTTGTGAGTAGTGCACATACAGGTATCGCGATATCTGGAATATCTTACCAAATGAAACATGAGGTGGCCTGGCGCAGCACATTCAGTTGCTTGGAGACATCGTAAATGAGGGATTCATCTGGGTCCCAAGTGAGTCTCTCGCAAAACCAAATTTGTTTTCAAATGAGTGTGTTTCGCTAAAACGACCCCTGTTGAGGAGTGAATGGTATGGCGTTCCAACCACTAGTCCAATGATCAGTTCACTAGAAACCTCGCTTTCAGCCTGAACAACCTCAGCTACATCTTGAACCCCATTTTTCAGCCCACACTTGATCCTTTTATCACAATTTACCGTGGTTCGGATTTCGTTTACAACAATTTCATTTTGTCACCATGACGTAAACTAAATACTGATTACAATGTATCCTTAATCTAGGTAGTACATCGAGAGGAAAGCCGACATTAACACAAATTACTGACAGCTCTGTTCATAATCCGTTTCAGGAAGAAAAAACAAGTATATGTGTCAGGGCGTATGATTCAAATAAGTTGCATGCTTGGGGAATATTGCAAGCAAACTGTTGGGAATGCACCTCCGTTCTTGATTCAAATCAAGTAAGGAGGACATTTTAAACCAGTTGTTCATCAAATAGCTACCGTCCTGACACTGTCTACCGCATGAGGAAATTAGTAAGACTTGGCACTCCAGTAAAATTCAAGTGTCAGTGGGCTGTCTTACTCGGGTAATTCCGAAAATCAGCCCAACGCACGGACAGGTTAAGTAATCAAGCGATTATCATGGTTGATGGTGACCATGGGATTGGCCGCCGACGCGGTTCGCTATAATTGACTGTGACCTTCAAAACAGGTGAACAAAATTAGTAGGCGACCTCACTCCACTGACAGCCAAAACCTACGCGGATCGACCGGTTTGGTTGGGATGAGCTGGGTTCGGCTTGGGCTAACGTGGCTTGATTCAGCCCACAGCTATTGGCGCTCTATTTGAGCGAACGAACCGGTTCCAGTTAGGTTGACTGTAGATTGAATGATAAGATAAGATTGGTAATATTTACTATTGGCTTCAGGTGGCATTTTCTAAATAGCTCATAGATCCAATGTGAACCATCAGAAACCGACCTCCGATTATCAGAGCAACAGTTGAAACACCGATTCGGAAGATTCAGATGACAAGAGACCTTACTTACAGAAAGCATTCTGGGAATCCAAAGGTATATTTTGACAGCATTGCTGCTACAACGACTTCATAGGAAGTGAAGCCCTGCAGACTAACGGATGCGAGAAAGCCTGCATATATACCACACCCACAGATAGAGTAAATTCTGAGAAAAATGCCAGTCTGTCTAGGCAGAAGGTTGTTCAGAGACTGGATGAAACAACTACTAATCGAGAAGTTTTCTGTTGCTGGTACGTGGACAGAGATGGACCGAGTGGTTAGAGCGCGACTTTACTGTTCGGAAGGTCCGTGGTTCGAAACCGACTTCTGCCTCTCGACTTCCCCTGTCTAGGCTTGGGCGACATGGCAGTATCCCAGCCCTCGTGCCTCCTTCGTGTGGCGTGGCAACTAGACACCAAAAGGGTGCTGCAGCCGAATGACTATTCCCTGATGTGTAGTATTTCTTATCAGTGAGTGGATTTGTTCCACAGGTTTGAGCCGGAGAAAGACAGTTAAGATTCTGTCCTTGTCAATCGCCCAATAGTCTACAGTTGTTGGTTGTGCTTAGGAGTTTGGATAATGTCGAAGAAAAAGTAATGCTTGTGGTTCTTACAGAAATACCTTTTCCACGGTTGGATGGAATGCAAGTTCACTGCCAGTACTCCATGGGACTGCAGCGTGACTGGTCGCCAGTTCCCAATTAAATATTCTCAGTCCGGTGAATGGATCGCGCGAACTCTATTTCCTTGAAGGTTTTTCCTACAGAGTCTTCTAACAATATTCAGAAATTGGGGAACTTCGTCGAGAAGTAAGGTTCATTCATTCCGGAAGAAACTCCTATAAATTTCCAACAAATGTCCAAAATAAAAAATGTGGCTATCCAAAACAAATTATGGATAATAATTCAGTGGCTTCCTACGAAAGTGGGAAACTGACATTGCTAATTAACTTGTGCATGAGAATGGAGCACACCTCTTATCTGCACTTGAAATGCACAACCTTCGTTTTCATCCGTTAAAACCGAGCGATAAATCCCATCACTCATTGCAGTGGAAAGAGTAAGTAGCTTGCAACGCGACAAATGTTATGCAGTTATTTTGTCAAAAACACCACCCAAAGTGAGATTTCACAGAATTGTGCGTGGTGGCCGACTAGCCTGCTGATCATTTCGGAAATAAAATGACTGGTGCCTCATTATTTAATGGTCAACTGAGGAGAATCATGAGAAAGATTTCGGATTCATTCAATACAAGTAGACCGTATAAGGTAGCCGAAGAAAGGTATGGAATAGCACGGTAAAACATCATGTGTCCGATATGCAATTAAGCTGAAAATGTCCTCGGTTGCGCACCGCGCTCACGTAAAATTCTACGGCTAATCGCTTGTCTACCCGAATATCAACCGCCTGCACTGAAAGTTGGAATACATTTAAAAAAGTTGCGACAACGCGAGCCAATCACCAACCCCAAAATGGAATGTAAAATGCTCTCCAATAACCTGTGCTTTGTTACACATACATTTACTCAGATATAAGGATGTATCCTGGGGCGAGGACCAAAGACTGCGATATTCGATATGTTCATCATCAACATCATCATCATCATCATCATCATCATCATCATCATCATCATCATCATCATCAT